TCCTCATAGTATCACTTAATATGTCACTTGACCTTTATTATCCCAAACCAGCAAGTCATGTCCCATCAGAAAACAGTATTCCTGCCTCCATGGCCAACCTGAGGGCACTTTAAGGAGTTTTCAAGATTCATAGTAACATCCAGATGATCAGTCTTGCTTCAAAGTCAATTGTATTCAGAATTCCTACTTTCCAGAAGATGAGAGACTTCCTATCTCCTACCAGGAGCTGGTGGCCTCTTAATGAGCCATGATGCTGCCACAGCTAAATACAGGTGGAACAAGAACCACTGCTGATGAATAAAAAAGAAGTATAAGCTGGGGGGTGTGGCACATGTCTGTAATCCCAGCACTCTGGGAGGCTGAGGCAGACAGCAAGTTTGAGCCCACCCTGAGCAACTTATAGATTTGACAAGACCCTGTCTCAAAGTGAAAATATAAAAAGGGGTAGAGATGTAGCTCTGGGTTCAATCCCCAATACCCCCCTCCCCTCAGAAGTATGTCACTGTCAGTTGACCCGGATGGTGCAGAAATTCCATATTTAAGCTTTCATCTGACAAAGGACAAGGAAACACTTCTAAACAGAAGGCACTGAATCCCTTTAATGCGCAAAGCTGATGTTATATGGAAGAGATAATAGTCACAAAAAGTATTGTTTAGAAGGGTTGCATGCCTCATCTAAGGAGCAGTATAGGTTTCCCTCCATTCTTCCATCCTTTTCTCTCTCACTCTTAGAGATTGAACCTAGGGAAGCACTCTAACAGTGAGCTACATTCCCCAGCCCTTTTCATTTTATTTTGAGACAGGATCTTGTTAAATTGTCCAGGCTGGCCTTAAACTTGTGATCCTCTTGCCTCAGCCTCCCAAGTAACTGGGATTATAGGAGTGCACCACCACACCCAGCTAAACTCATTTCTTTATGCCACCTCTTCTTCCCAAGACTTGTGTCAGTGCAGGTAAAGTTATAGGTCAACAAGTAGTTTTCTTTAGCTGGGGCTTGGATACTTATTTATTTAATGTGTTTGCATGATGACAAAGGCCATGTGCTCCTTGGGGTTAGGAAAAAAAGGAACTAGAATAACTTTTTCAGGTTCTCTATCATAATCCTCACCTTTCAGTTTTCTTTCTCCCTGTTTTATGCAATGTTTATTTAGCCCAATTATAAAAACAGAAGTATCTCCTCAGTAGTTTGATAGATGATTGAGGCTGTAAAACTTACTGTGACTCATCATGTTTGCTGTTTGGTTTTGATGAGAATCAAAGTGAAATCTCTCTAGATAAATTCTACATTTCATTATATTTGTAAAAATTTTAAAACTACATCATCCTCAATTCTCAAAATTAATTATATTGTTTTTGAGACTGTCAGAACAGATTTCCTGGCTATGTATCATACAAACAGACAATCTTACATTCTATTTAAATGTTCCCTATTTAGCCAATACAAGAGTTGGCTGGTGGTCCTCTGGCTTGTTTCTCTCAATCTTGAACCCCAAAATGAGGGAAGGAGCACAGAAGAAAAGGTAGAGATATCTGGGTGCTCCCCACTGTTTTCATTCTCTCAGAACAAATAAGATTCAAATCTTTGAGGAAGTAAATGAAATCCATTTTAATTTGGCTTGCTCAATATCAAGAACTTTCCAGTGGCTTGTGAAAAGCAAGTGTTTTGTAAGGGACCTTGGGAAGATTTTCTTGGCAAAGATGGTACAGCTCAAGGAACTGGAACCAGACAGGCCAACTCACACCTGCTCAAATCAACACTCACAGAAGAAAAGCACAGTAAATGAAGTGAACAAAAGAGGTCGTTCTGATTCAGATTTGTGAAGAGATTGTTTGGAAACGAAATTATAAGCTCCTAGGAATGACTAGAATCATTCTCCTATGTTCCACTCTATCTTAATCTTTCATTATTTCATTAGACAGATACTTTTTACCAGAGTAGTCATGTTTTAACATTGAGAAGTTCCAGGGCGGGGGATTTAGCTCAGTGGCACCGTGTCTGCCTTGCAAGTGCAAGGTCCTGAGTTTGATCCCCTGTACAAAAAAAAAAAAGAGAGAAGTTCCAGGCTTAGGGATGTAGGTCAGGGGCAGAGCAAGTGTTTAGCATATGCAAGACTCTGGGTTTGAGCCCTAGCACTGCAAAACAAACAAACAAACCTCTGTCCACCCACCCTCCAGCCTGTAGAGGTACAGCTCAGTTTCTTGATATAATACTTGTAAATTGAGTTCTTTCACTTTGTAGAAAAAGATTAGAGTAATCTTTTTTTAAATTTAATTTTGTTTTATTTGTACTGATTTTTTTTTAGTTCTGGGGATCAAACTTGGGACCTAGAGCTTTTGAGGCAGGCAGCGTTACCACTGAGCTAAATCCCCGACCCCAGAGTATAGTAATATATAGAACAAGAAATTTTACTATTTTAAGATCACAATTATGGAGAACCTTTGGAGTCAGGGAAAAAAGGTAAAAAACCATCTACCATTACTCCAGGCCACTTTATAGAGGATATGCCTATAATTTGTCTGCTGGAAAGTAACTCGGGGGCTGGGAGTGTAGTTCAGTGGTGGAACACATAATTAGCATGCAAAAGGTCCTGGGTTCACTCTCCAGTGCCAATAAGCAAGTAAGTAAATAAATAAATAAAGGCAAGAGAAAGTTCCTCAGCCCAATCAATAATATTAATATAAATATCTTATTCTTTCAAGTACATCAGAATTAATCTAATTAAGTTTCCTTTGTCCTAGAGGTAAATGACATCACCAAAGGCCATTGACACAGGGCTACTTGATTTAAACAAACAATATTGTTTCATGTCTTGTCACCTTTGGATAAATTGCTCACTCCTGGAATGTCATTTGCTTTCACTTCTTCATCTACTATTTATCCTCAAAATTCACATTACCAAAAAATCTTTCTGACTCCTAACTTGTATTCACCTAACACCTTGTAAATGATATTTTTCACACTGCATTGGAATAATGAACCAGACTACACATTCCTGGAGGTCATCAACCATGTATCATTCAACTTTTTATCTTCCAAGATGCTCCAAGTATGGCACCTGACACATAGTAAGCAGTGAGAACATAAGATCTATTTGATGAATCAAACCACAAGCCTCTCCCTCCTCTCCCTTTCCCTCTTCCTCTGTCTCCTTGGTCTCGAACACATTTCACAGAAAGTTCTTTTGATCAGATTATAGCCAAGAGTTTCTTTGAAGAAAATAAGCCTCTATTAGTAAATTCACTGAAATGGTACTATCTTAGTCAAGCTGTAATGTCTGGGGGAGGAGTGAACACTGCCATGCCACACCATGCCATGCTACTGCTCTGCTGGAACACACAGCTCTCAGGGATCATAAACCCAGCATGAGTCAAGAATTTAAAAAGCCAAGTTTAAAGTAAGAGAAGACAATTTATTTGAAGGTGGAGGAAAAGGGGGAAGAGAGAGATGATACATAGCTACTCTGGACAAGAAGGGAGCATTCAAAAGTGAAATGTTACTCATAGATTCTTGTCTGCAGCTCCTTTTTATTGAGATCCTTGTCCCATGTAGGTTCCTGGAATCTGATTGGTTCTATGGCTGCCTTTGGTTTTCCCTTGAATTTTTCAGGTCATATGATCTTTTCTGTTATTTAGTCGAGGCAAAGATTATGGGGGGGGGGCTTAGGGACAAGAAGTTTAGGTTTAAGTATTAAGTAAAGGGGCTTGTGTTAATCAAACTACCTGGGACCTCCTAGAGTTTAGTTTCTTTGCCTTTATCTTTCTAATTGCTTGAACCTAATATCCAGAGGCAGAATCCACACCCTTAGTTTGAGGAAACAGAGACAAGAGAATATAGAACTGGGCTCAATTCCCATCTTACAACAGTTTCTGAATAAGATCTGGTTATAATTTTTAATGTCTTTCTTTCCCCCCTTCAGGGAAGGAGACAGTAATTCAGGAGATTTCAGATAGAGGCAAAAGACCAGAACAAAGGCAAACAGGAGTAAGGCAACTAAAGAAAAAAAGTAATTTAAGGAAAGCTTAAGTCAAGGCAAACAGGAATTCTCTGTAGCCAGAGTTTAGAGTAGCCTTGGGAAACTGGCAGATAGGGAAGTAGTTTTTTCTAGTAACCCACCAGAGCTGTTTACTTGTACTTAGGAAACAAATTTTTAAAAAATTTATTCATGGGTGCTCAAATGGAAAAAGGCAAGTTTGAACAAGATTGCTTGGAACACTATGTCAAGAAGTTTGGACTTCATTCTGTAGAGCCAACTGGGCATTCTGAAAGCTATATAGGTTTTACAGCAGACTGTGGTCTTTACAGGTAATAGGCTTGGGCAGCAAGAGGCAGCTCCTCTGTTACAGGTGAATGGGACAAAAATCGTCTAGGTTCTTGTGCAGGACAAGGAAAGAATTGCCAAATTGCACCTGGTAGTAAGAAGCTGCATCTATTGAAGATCACGGAACAGCAGCAGAACAGGCAGAAGGGCAAAAGGAAAAAGGAGGTGGAAGAGGAACCCTTAACAATTCAGGCTTCCAGTATTTAAAAGATCAGCCAGCTCTAACTGCAGGTGCCTCCCATTGTGGTCAGACACCTCTGATTCCAGGTGCCTGCCATTCCATCTCTCAGTGGTGTCAACGATTTGCGGAGTCCCGTAGGTAGGAGTGAGTGTGAGCGGCAGAAACGTGGGCCAGGTAAAGCAAACGCGTCTCCGCTGTGGCCTTCGCCCGCGGCGCTGCGCTGCGCAGCGCGCTTTCCCATCCTAGTTCCCTCTGGGCTGAGAGCCGGCCCCGCCCCACGGCCCAGCCTTCTGAGGAGTGCCGGGGCCCGCGCCAGCGCGTTCCTCGTTCTCCCTAAAGGCAAAAGCGTGAGTTTCGGCCACAGCCACTACGCTCCACCGATACTCTCCGGAGGACCTCCAGCTGGCCTAGGAAAGTCCTGGCCCGGCCGCGGAGAGACCCGGGGAGTCGCGTCGCTCGCGGCCCCGGGTCACGTGCGGCGGCCTAGGCCACGTGACCGGCGGGCCCGGTCCCCAGCGCTCCGCCCCTGAGCCAGGCGTCGGCGCGGCTGCTAGCTCACTTGCTAACTCGCTCGGGCTTCAGACGCCGGCGGAGCTGAGACCTCGCGGCGCGCGCGGAGCCTGGGTCTGGACGGCGGGCGCTGCTGGCTTTGCAGGTAGCGGTGGACGCGGGGTCGAGCTCGCCGGCCGCACCCGGCCCGGGCCTTCCTCTGCCTCCCTTCCCCGTGGGCTGGGCCGCCGGGTGTGCCCACTTACACGCTCCCGCCGCCCTCCCTTGGCTCCCGGCCCGCGAGGCGCAGCGTCCGGAGCTGGCGCGCTGGCCCCTCAGCTCGCGTTTCTTCTAGCCCGGAGGCGATGAAGGTGGAAGAGGCAGGGAAAGTTTTCCCCGCTCGCTTTCTGTTTCGAGCTGCACCAGCGCGTGTCACTGCCTCGCGCGCCGATTTGCTGAGAGGAGACTTCCCTCCGACGCTCCATCCTCCCTTCGCCCTTCCCCGGATCTCAGCATCTCTGAGGGTAGCGGTGTCACAAGCCCAGTTCCGTTTGTTTTCCTTTCCCCCGCGACTTGGGATTCACGACGGGGTGATTCTCTTACTGGAGACTTATGCCCAGGAGCGCGGTGAACGGAGTGGATAGCATTTTTCTTGTCCTGTCTCTGATTAAAAAAAAAAAGCCCCCCAAACCTACCCGCTTTATTTTATTTCAAGTGACTATCGAGACATGCTCTCGTACTCTCCTGAGTGGCTTTTTGTTTATATTTGCGGGCAAGACAATATAAAGCCATCTGCTGCAGAATTGTTGCAGCTGAGGATTGCAATTTTATTATTTTTTAAATTTTTATAATTTTAATATTTTTATTCTAATGTTTTTCTACTTGCAGGTATTTAACTTGCATTGTAAGTGTAACACACAATATATTTTATCTGTTGTTTCTAACTACAAATTTAATCTATACTAGAATTTTCACTTTCTAATTTTTTTTAAATTTTTTTGCTTAAATTCTTTTATTGATACATTTTAGGTATACATTTTGTTTACATTTATCATTGGGTGTTTGTACCTGTACATGATGTATCTTGTTTCTTATTTTTTCCCCATTACCTGTGCGCCCTTCCCCACCTCCACCCTTCCCTATTTACATAGATTTTGTTTCCATTTTTTCCTTTTCTCATAATTTTTCCTTTCCTTTCTTTCCTTTCCCCTTCCCCAGCAACTTCCCCTACCCCTTTGGACCTTTTCTTCCTATTTCACATTATCTATTATACCTTTTAGTCCTTATTTACACTTTGAGTTTCTCACACTACAGAAACTATTCGGTATTTACACACGTGTGTCCTGTTTATTTCACTTAAGAATATGGCCTCAATATGCATCCATTTAGCTGTAAATGTCTCTAGTTTCTTGTCCTTTATGGCAGAGTAGTACTCCATTTTATTAAAAAACCACATCTTTATCCAGTTTCCAGTTGATGGGCACTTGGGCTGTTTCCAAGCTTTAGCTATTACAAACTGTGCCGCTCTAAACATGGGTGCACATATATCGCTGTGGTATGATTCTTTTAGTTCTTTTGGGAAGATACCCAACAGGGGAATAGCTGGGTCAAATGGCACTTCTAGTCCTAGTTCTTTGAGGTATCTTCATACTGATTTCCACAGTGGTTGCACCAGTTTGCACTCCCACCAACAATGGAGAAGGGTTCCTTTCTCCTCACACCCCCCGCCAGCATTTAAAAATATGGAATGCTTCACGAATTTACGTGTCATCCTTGTGCAGGGGCCATGCTAATCTTCTCTGTATCATTCCAGTTTTAATATATGTGCTGCCGAAGGGAGCACAGGATTGCAATTTTATAAAACAATCTTGTAATCATGCTTTAAAAGATTCAGTGTCTCATTTTCTTTAAAGCCCTTAAAGGGCGAAAGCTGAGTTTCTGAAAGGGGTGTGTTTTATAGGCCAATACTGTTAAATCCTCATGTATAATGCCAGAAGGCATGGAAAAATGGTTAAACAGTGAAGGGAGTTTATAGCCTCCCTCAAACTTTAGAGAGTATCCCGTTGAAGTAAGCACTGGGTAAATTTCACCCTTTTGAACTGCTTTAGTATTGAGTGTGTATATTTAAATTCTACTAATATAGCAGTTTGTGTTGTGAGATGGCTTTTAATTCATTGCGTGAATTTCAGTCTGTTAGTATGCTACACAGATCTTTTTTCTTATATCTTCTTGTCTTTCTCTTTAAGAGGAAAGATATTATCTTTAAAGAAATTTCTTTGGCAGGTGATATTTATGTCTGTGAGCCAAATGATCAAGTTCGGGAACTTTAGAAAACAAATAGCAATAAAAACCAAAGCCATCAAGTTTGTAGCTTAAAAAAAGTTTTAAAATTTTAAATTAAGTACCTGTATGTTTGGTACAAGTTTGGCCTCATCTTAATAATCACGAGCTGGGGAGTCTGAGAAAAGGTCTTCCTCTGCCTGAGAATCATTGTGGGGAGAATGAAATTGTGAAGGAATATAAAAGACCTTTGTTACTGTTGTTATATTCCTTCTGTTTGTACTACTTTAAACAGTCAGTCATATGTAAGAAACAAGGTTTGGGCCCTACAAGGGTCCAGAGTCCAGCAAGTCAGTAGAATTCTATTTTTTTGAAACTGTGTTGCATTGTTTTAAAAAAATCTTAAAACATTTTCATATTTTGTATGTGTTGAATGCACAAGAGGAATGTAGTGAGTGTTGGCTGAATTTAAACATCCCAGAGAAGAGGAATACTTCCTTTCAATTATATATTTGACCCACAAAATTGACTAAAATTTAAAGTGTTTCCAAGAACACAGTGTAGACTTATCATCTAAAAAAATTGCAAGGATAAAGGAAAATTTAGAAAATACAAATAAGTTTAAAGAAGAATGTACATGCCCTGTAATTACACTGTCTAAAGGTAAGTTAATATTTTTTCTGTACAAATTTATTGGATTCCAGACTTAAGGTAGTAAGATTTCAGATTGTCATATCCAAATCTAGTGTATTCTTTTGTTTTTTTGAAACGGGGCCTTTCTCTAATTCAGGCTGGCTTAAACTCACTGTATAATCCAGGCTGGCCTTGAACTCGTGCAGTCCTCCTGTCTCAGCCTCCCAAGTGCTGTGATTGCAGATGTGTGCCACCATGCCCCTGGCCCACTAGCTCATTCTTGAGTTTAGGTAATTTGACAGCAGGAGTTTAAATAACTAGGATACTTCTGTATATTTGAGTATTAGATATACTTTTAAAATGACATCATATCCATGCATACATAATAGCAAATTGTCAGGTGTGAAATGTCTTCAGGAAGTGATCTAGTCCATGGAAGCCTGTTATTCTCAGACCATTCCTAAGGTGTGATGTCTGTCCTTCGTATAGCCCCAGAAAGGAAGACATTATGGCTTTTTGAAATTAGAAGTCTACATGGTCAACTCTTGGCTGGAATAGTCTTTCTAATGCTTAAGAAAAAGTTAGTTTAGGAAGTAGACAAAGCCTGTCCCTTCTCAGATGCTTCAGTCCTGAAGTTAATTGGTATAGTGAAGACATCCAGTGGTTGTATTTACAGATGTGATGGATTATTTCCAAAGATGACCACCAGCAATTCTCTTCCCATCCTTTGCTCCTTCCATGAGGAGTGAATCTGTTTCTGCTTTATTTGAATGTAGGCTGGCCTAGTGACTTATTTTGATCAATAGAAAAGGTGGTAGAAGTGATACTGTGCAGTTCTGGGCTTAGCGACTAAGAAACATGGCAGCTTTAGCTTCCACTGACTTTTCTTAAAAGCGATGTGTAGAAGTGTACTGGGTATAGAAGCTTGGGCCATGCTAGGTGGAAGAGGAAAGACCACTGGGAGTGTCCCATATACATGAATGAGGCTTAATCAGACTTCATGGCCTGCATCCTCATGAGTAACCCTAGCTGAATACACTCAAAACACAGATCTAAGATAAATAAAAAAACTGTTGTTTTAAGTCACTGAGTATTGGGATGTTAAATTACTCAGCATAGATAAAACCCTTGGTATCAGTTTAGGTTATTTAGGAGTTATTCCCAAGATGTGAACCCTGAGACAAAACTGTGGGCAACATATGCAGTAGCATGATTTAGTGATAAATCTCTAAATTAATCAAATCTATATTTCGTAGGACATAGGGAATGTATTTGTTGAATTAAACTGAAAATTTTGGTATATCTCATGCTTTGCAAGGTAAAATCAGAATCAAGGTTAAGTCAGAATATCATTTTCTTTTGTGCCCTTGGTTACTACTTGTACATGTGGTTGTTATCAGTTTATAGTAAACATTTTGTGATATGATTATCTGAAGTGTTTTAAAGGACTCAGCATTATTGAAATGATGGATGTGTGATGTTTCTCTTTCAGTTTGCCATTTGATGAAATTAGCACTATTTATATTTATAAATCCATGCAGTAAAGGTAGTAGATCTGCACTGAATATATATATGAGAGATGCTCCATCTTCAAAGTGCAAGGAGAGTGGATCACAAGCAAACTGTCATTTCTAAGGTGTATGTTACAGAACTTTAAGCAAACAAAACAGTGGATTTTTCAGGAACACTTCTATCACCGTCTTTAAATGGGAAAATCCTCTGAGGAATTTTCTGTTCCAGTTCTGGTTACATCAACTTTACAACAACTTCCTGGGGAAATAGCTTGCTGGAAATCAAAGGGTACTTCAAGAGCCTATGATCTTCAACTTGTTCTGAGTGCTGGGTTCTTGCTAGGTTTCCCTGACCAGTGCTCTTTTCCTTCCTCTTTGGTTGCTGCTTCAAATTTCTGTTATTTTTTTTTGTTTTTGTTTTCCCAAAATTGTTCCACTCCACATTTATTGTTCTTCCTCTTAACAGAATGTCTTACCTCTTCACAGGGAAAATTAGGTGACCTCTGAAGAAAATGCCTCTAGATGCCAGTCAAAACCATAATAAGATATCACCTCACACATTGGGATATAGCTCTATTGAAAAGACAAGAGGGTTAGTGAGGTTATGGAAAAATTGGAACCTTTGTACATTGCTGATGGGCCTGTACAATGCAGAAGAATACGGGTGAATATTCCTCCAGCACCTGGCTCCTAGTATTTAAACTTTTTTTTTCCTCCCCAGCACTGGGGAGTGAACCCAGGG